ACTGTTGCTGTTGTTGACGTTATTGTTATTATTGTTATTTTTATTTTTTTTTTCGTGTCCGTCCGGAGACCACACCCGGTGCCGCCTCCGCCGGAGGTGTGAAATGTGTTTTTGTACAAACACACACACGACCTGCAGCGGCGGCGACGGCAAACGGCCCGCACACAAACGGCGTCCCGCGTATTTTACAATATCGTCGCGGTGGTGTTTTCGGAGCGGACGTGCGCGACACCGCGGTCCCGTACACTACAATAACACCCGGGAGAGTCCGAAATCGTGAATTTCGACGTTTCGTACACAATGCGCGGCGGCACAATAAATGCACTTTTCTCGCGTGGCGGCTCGCTCATTTTTCCGCGGGGGTCGGTCGGCGTTACCGGGAAACGGGAGTATTTTTTTTTTTTTTTTCATTTCTTTTATCTTCGCGGCATCGTTACGCGTTTTACGCATCACGAACGCGAGCGACTCTGCCGCCGTGTACACGCGCGCCGACAAACGCCGTACGTCCGGGGGCGCGCGGAATCCGAGGAATTTACGGCGGCGTTGCGTGTGTCGCGGGCCGCCCCGAAATCCGGGAGTTTTGTACGCGGGGGTTAATGGAAAACCGCGGAGACCGCGGCACACTCGGGCGAACCGGCCGTCGGCATCGGTATCGACGAATTCTGTGATTTCTCCCGAGAGTTTTTTTTTTTTGTAGTTTCCGCACGCGTGAACTTGTGCCCTTTTGATTCCGCCGACGTTTCTGTAGGATATTTTTTCGGCGATTTCGTAACGGATCCAAAACAATCGCGACCTGACGAGATTTCCGGGGTTTCGCGGTGATTTTTTCGGCATTTTTTTTTTTTTTAAATTTCAGAGAAACATCGCCACATCACCAAACAATTCCGAACGGAAAACCGCGCCGAGCGGCAGCGAACCCGCACTCGAATCTCTCGTCGAGCGCCGACAAACATTCTCGGGGACAAATCCTGCTGCCGTCCGGTTTCCAGTTACGGGTTTTCATCCCGACTTTATTTTCGTTTTCGTTTCGGTCGCTGACGGATCCGATCCGCAATAGCTCGCGTGAAACAACGAGGACGGGGCGCGGGGCCGCGCACACCACGACAAGATAATAACACGACCCGCGCGCGCGCGGGAACGGAGGCGTCATCGGTCGGGATAAACACGCGCGGTCGTGCCCGTCGCGCGCCCGAAAACTGGACCGTTATTATTATAACGCGCGGCGCGCGAGTGACGATGTCTCCGTCGAAACCGCGCGCGCCTGGCGAGCGTTCGACGTGATAATTATCGCAGGCACGCTCGTACTTGGGCTCAGTATTTATACATACGTATATATATATAGTGTACACGTATATGCGGGGAGTGTTATTGGGGATGCGGAAAACAATATGGAGAATCCTGTCCGGGACCCGGAAATTAGTGGCTATTCGGTTCGGTGTGTGTATACACGTTATATTAAATTATAGTATGACGTCTGTACAAACAAAATAACACGGTACCTATCCAAATATAACGCGCAACACTGCGTTGTACACGGTGTCGTATAACTGTTGAAAAAAAAAAAAAAAATCCTGTTTACCGCGGCGAACAAAAAGCCGGACGTACTTCGCACCGTCTACTACGCGGGTATACAGGTGTGAAATGTGTAATAATACGGGGGGATCGATCCACCGTGAGGCACTCGTTATCTCGGCGAGTATTAATTTTCTCCGGCGTTTGTTTTCTAGAACGTTTAAGAAACCGTTCTGCGATTATACGCGGACGTTATTTTTTTTGTCAACCATTATTGTTGCGAATAAGACCACTAAAACTTGTTTTGACTAATACTTCGTCTGTTTGCGGAATTTTCAATATAGATTGCCATTTGAAAATCAAAATTAGATACAGTGGATTTACCGCTAAAAATAACATAAATTTAAAATTGTTGAGCAGCTTGTCTCTTAAATGCTCTGGCAAATAAATTCCGGAAAAAGTAATACTTTCCAAGATAATGAGTGCCCTGTGATAGATTGATCGCCCCGTATATAGGTATATAATGTTATTTGATTCGCATTTAACATTACGCGACGAAAGCGACGACAACGAGAAGAGATTCCGATTGGAACTCGCGATTGAGCCGCGAAAACCGTAGTTGATCGTTTGTCCTGTTTTTAATACACGCGTGAAATTCGAGTGCGCGATGAGCCCCCTTACATGAAGAATCGACATTTCGAAATCCGGCTTGAAAACGTTTGTAGGTATTTCGGACCTCTACGTCCTCAAGCGATGCAGATTCCCCCGTCATAAGATATTAAAAATGACCGATACTGCTGACGGGTGTGCCGCTGTTGTTGATGAGAAGTTAGGAATGTAACGGACGCGTAGAATTATTCAATTAACATTTGTATGCACCTTCATTGTTGCTAACAAAAAACGATTCTGAACGGGGTCCGATTAAACGTGTTCTGAAACGCGGTGAATTTTGTGTTATTCGTCAAGATTTGAATTTGAAATTCTCATAAAACAAATTACTAGGTACGTGACGCTCAGAAATCACCAAAACGGTTTGAAAATTTGATAACGTATATTTTTCCGTTTTTCTCACTTTTTTTTCCCCCGATTATTAAGTAAACTATGAGGAAAATCAAAATATATCATCTCAGCGCGCAGGCTCGGAAATCGGGGCGAGATTTTCGGTAGAGAAATTGTTAACAGGCGGAAAAAAAAACACGCGCAGCATACTGCGCTCGGATTCTAAAAGAGAAAAATAAACTGCCTCCCCGTAACGTGATGCACCGACTGTGGGAAAAAAAAAAAAAAAAAAAAAAAAAACGTTACCGGAAATCGCCTTTGGTATTATTTCATCGATCCGGACGTGCATTAGCAGGTCGTATTGTAAATGCATACGTGCGATTTGTTATTTGTCCGGGTGGTGACTCGGAATAAATATTTACCCCGCGAAATCGGTGCTGTTGTTGCGGGCGGCGGACACAGGTGTTCGGCATCTCGGAATACGGGGTTTGCGGTGCGAAATCTAACTACCCTCATCTCTCCCCCCCCCGCCCCCGTTCCGAAAACGAATATAGGCCGAAACGCGGCACAGCACCCATTTCGTCCGCCGGCGAAAAGCGCGCTAGTGATTATTATCGCCGAGGTTGGGCGGTCGTGTAGAAAAAACGGCACAAACGTCTCGCCGGCCGCACATGCACGTCCGGCCAGGCGCGCGGCGACCGCCTCGCCGAGAAAGCCGGGTAAATATTATAACGATAACCTCCCCGGACTGTATATCCGGAACCGCTGATGATACTCGATCCGGGTACCGTTATATCATTATAATAACAAGACCGGTGGAAACAATCGCCGCTAAAACGTCCGCGCGGCAGTATAATCAGTTGCGCGCGACCGTCTCCAAAAAACGACCGCGTTTATCGGTTTTCTTTTACCTCGTTGGTAAAACACCGGATCGCACTTAAAAACAATACCTAAAACGAAATTAAAATTAAAAAAAAAAAAACGGTCGTTTTCTGCCCGGGGAAATTATAATACAAAATAATATACACTGCGAAAAATTAGTTCGGGCAGTATAACATTACCGTGTGTATACCTAACTACACGCTAAACGTATATTATTAGTAGTCGTAGATTTTATTACGGTATAATGGCGCAAGAGCGGATTACGTTTCGCAACGTTCAGTTTTTTTTTTTTTTTTTAACGTGCCGCGCACGTAAAGAACGCGTAGTCTTTAAAATTTTAAATTTCTATGAATATTAAAACACAATATTAAATATTAATAAATACGAACATATTTCGCTTGTGGGCGCAGCCACTGTTGTAGGTGGGAAATTGGAAAGGNATATTTGCTCGGTGCACGCGCGACACGAGCGTTGTCGTCGAGCCGTGATAATTGGCCCGGGCGTTGCCGGCCGCCGGGAAATCGATAAGAGACTAGCTGATACGCTGCGGTTGTTTCGTTCCGTTTCCATTGGAGATATTGATACCGAGTACCATAAATTTAACCGTGTTACGGCGCTTGAACGTTGCCGACGTTTCTATTCCGAAATACGACCCGCAGACGTTGTTTTCTCCCGTCCCCTCTCATTTATTTCCGCCCGGCGCGTTTTACGTTTTCCCGCAGGACACTATAACCAGCCCAGGACGTGCGGACGCGGCGGAGTTTTTCTTCTTTTTAAATTCGCTTTTGCTACAGGCTGCTGTGGCTACATTTCCCTTGTCGTTTCTCCGACAACCGCGTACGTCTCTGTTTCGCACACTCGCGTCTCTCGCGTCAGTTTCTCATCTTTGAGTTCGACAATAGCTCAACGCACTCTAAAACCGAAACTAACAGCGCTACGATGTCCCAGCTGAACGCGAATTCGTTGTTTCGTACGTTTGTAAGACGACGACGATACACGCGGTTATCACGCCCTCCAAATATTTTATAATTTCATATAATTGTACACAATATAATAATAATATAATGCATGTGCATGGTATAAAGTTATCGTGCATTTTCGAATCAAGTACCTACCTGTAATATTTAGAAATTAAAACGAAATTAATATTTAGGTAATTTACAATGTTTACATGCCATTATTTACTCGACAAGCGGCCTCGATGCACGGTATCCAAGTGTTTGATAAGCTACTGCTTATTTTTAATGCTTTAACTTCTATAGTTAGAATTATAAAAGTTTTGATTCTGAATATTCTAAAATTAATTTCCTGAGAGCCCATAGGCAGGCATGCAACTAAAAGATACTAGACCCCCCCTCCCGAAATTTATGCTTCTCGCAAAAAAATCGAATTGTTAGTACAATTTTTCACTATAGGACTTGGATGACGGATTTCAACTTTGAAAACAGATAATGATTCTGTGATTTAGGTTCTTTATTAGGATACGATGGAAATATAATTATATAAATTATTTCACTGGAAATCTTAAAGCGTTCTCCCCATTTTAATGTTTTCTAGACGTGAATGCAATTGGTTGTTTTTTCCTACTGGGGTCATCCTATTCTAAAATGCCTGAGAGTCCCTCTATTGATGCGTCGGTCGTAACAAAGACTGGATATTTGTCGTCTTCAAAGTTTGCTAAAACTGGCGCAGTAAATATCGCGTTTTTTTTTAAAAAAAATGAAAGCGTTATATAAATTCACACCTAATCTAAACTTATTTTTTTTCTTTGTTAATTAATGAACGATTTTCGTGAAATTTACTATTTTCCGTAGTAGCTTGTTAGTCCAACGAATGATTTTACGCCGTTTATCTTTTCGGGCATTGGACATTTTTATATTGCTTCTATATTTTTCTTTAATTGGGCTATCCCACTGTTGGAAACTTCATGTTCTAAGTTTTTTTTTTAGAACTATAAAAATACGCGTTTATGTGTCTTCAATTTTAGTCTGCTTTAGTCTAACTGTAGTCTAACTGATTATAAATATAATGCTCAAAAATAGTTAAAATGTTTGAAAATTTTACCATGTTTAAAAAAGGCAAATATAAATTTTCTATCAAAATTTTAAATTTCTATGAATATTAAAACACAATATTAAATATTAATAAATACGAACATATTTCGCTTGTGGGCGCAGCCACTGTTGTAGGTGGGAAATTGGAAAGGTAGGATACAGGCGGGAATTTGATGCACATCTATAAGTGACAATAAACCATTGCAAATGAAAAATCGATTCTGAGCAGAGTTCAGTTGACAGTGTTGCTTTGTCAACAGTATATATATTATGTCATATTGTGGTAAAATGATAACAACAATGTGCGTTTCCTTGACGCAGTAAGAAAAAATTCCAGTATATTAATATATTATTACCTAGGGAAACAAATAATAATTTATTACTATTTCATTATTTCAATCATTTCATAATGAACATTGTTATATACAGTTTATAATACTCCGTGAGAACGAACCTAAAAAAAATGAATCGATGTAATGACGGTTTACCTTTTCTACCGGGATACCGTTTTAACACCATAGTAAGTTTACACAAATACAATACTATTGCGGGCGTCCGTTCGCGCTGAGTTCTAAGTAACTTCAAACCGAATTTAAAAATAAATGGACGCAATTTATTTAAATATGTAGTAAAAATTATTTAAAAACTTTGTTAGTTGGGCGAAATAGTCTGGCTTGAAGGCGCTCATGAAAGATAGTTCCAAACTCGTCTGAAAAGGCGTTTTCAGCGGCTCATTTATATCCTGGACCCCCGACTAGATTTGCTTACCATGCGCTTTTTTGATAAAAACACGTTGTTTCGTAGCTGGGCGATTACCTTTCTACGATAGGACTCGCGCATTTAGATCCTTGAACTCTTATGATCGATTTTAGAATGTGCGCATAGGTCTTACAATTAAAAAAAAAAAACCATTTTGTTATGTTTTCCTCTCGGATATCCATTTTTACTTAACATATGGAGTCTTACTTTTTCGTTAAGCGAAAGGCGTGTATAGTGCATTTATGTTTTTCTGGTTTTAGTTTATACGAGTAAAAACTAAATAATAAAATTATTTTGTTCACGTTTATATTTATATAGAAAAATGATTATCGGAAGAGTTCAATTTTTGGATACAAAAACGGATATGCCCTAAACGCGGATAAATCTACGGGCATCGGCAATAGCCCTCTAGAAGTAGACTCTATTTTGAACGCCAAAGTACTAAAAGACAATAGGTCAGTGAAATGGCTAGTGTCGTTAAATTGAAAATAAATAAATAATAAACATGCAATTTATTCAAACATAAGATATATCGTATTCTGTTTTATAAATTTTTTTATTTAATTATATTGTAGTAGAGGTACTTATAACTAACCCCCCGCTAATGTGTATTATAATAAATTATAGTTACGATCTTGCTAAGTTGACTTACGGTGTTCCCAAAGAGCCACCTAAACCACTTTTTAAACCGCAGTTCGTATTATTGGATGGGTTAGTTTTGTCTTTCAAAGGATATAACGTACAGAATATAGAGCCACCCTCGGTATTCACGCACAGAGTACGTCATGTTAATATCAACTACTACGTGGTCGACGATACTATTTCAATATCGGAACCTACTATAAAGGTAAGACTTCTTAAATTATTATTAAGTACCATGGATGAATAATATTTTCTTATATACTTACACACATATTTGTTAATTTATTCTATTTAGGCGAGCTTGAAAAACAAAAAAATTAAGAAACACAGTTAGTAAATTTACACGAAAGAAGGGTCCGCGTTGGCGGCGTGCACGGTACGGAAATTGGAGAGTTGAAAGAGTAATTAATAGACGATAGGGGGCTGAAAAAAGGTTTTGAATAATAGGTATAATGGAGGGGAATCTTAAAAGAAAACTGTGGTAATAAAGAAGGTGAATCAATTTTAAAGGAAATGAGATTAGAGAGGAAAAAAAGGTTAAAAAAGTGTCTACGGTCAGATAGGTTTGACAGGCGTAATTTCAAGAAGATGGGATTTATAAGCAAATATGTTTAAAAACAGTTTGAACAATTAACATACAAATAGGAAAAACAATGTATACATCCACCAGTCACAACATTACCTAATTTACGTTTTCTTACCCATCATGACAAAATAGATTATGGGAAGGCAATCGTGAAGCTGGTGGGAAATATTTAAATGGGAGGTGACTAAAGCGAGAAACTTGCGTTGGACACGTTCAACCATCATGCTGTCGTAAGAAGTGAAAGGGTCCCAAAGTACGGATCCTTGTTCCAGGATAAGACATGCAAGGGAGAAAAATAGAGATTCTAAAGGAGAAGGGGATGGCATTGTTAAAAGGAACGGCTGATAAACCCCCGGAGCTTGAAGGCTAATATTATATACTCATCCAATCATAAAAGGTTTTTTTTTTTAAATATGATATCGTGGAGAAGGTTTTAAGCAATTGAAATCCTCGATCTGACCATTTGAAGTAAAAGACTTAATCTGCAGTAGTATGGGCTGGATAAAAAATAATAATTTTGAGGATATTTTCATTACTTAATAAACATTTAACTAATTTATAAAGTTTGAAAAGAAAATTGAATGAAATACATTTGTTTTTAAATTAAAAGGCAGCGACGGGTTATTGGAGTGATAGTGCCGGAAATTTAAACAAGAAATCCCCGAAAAAATTGTTTTTATTACACATTTGTTTGACACGGACCAAATACGGTACCTAGCATAGATGAAGAATGGGCGAGTGAGTAGATGCAGCGTCGTCATCTGGCTGATAATTTAATGAAAAATTCGGTATTAAGAATGTTCATATCGCAGCATTATCACTCATTTTAGTATATTCGTAGCTTAACGGACCTTTAAGGTCAAACAAGATTTCCATCACCAACATTTTCTATTCTCTTCTGTCATTTGCCATAAATATTTGAACTTGCAGTTTTTCATGACGGAGACCTTCAAACTTTTGGGGTTCTTTTGCCTCTCATTTCTGATATCAATTTACCTACCTGCATAATGGTTTATCGATCCGCACTGTATACATGTCCCAGCCATTCGGGTTTTCTACTTCTCGTAGTTCGTTTGAAAATTACTGAACATTATTATCATTACTATACATATAGATGGTAATATTTTTAAATGCGTTATTATTGCGTTTGTAGCCCTATACTGAGAGTGCGCCCCTTCACTAATAAACAGACCAGACTGCACCGCTTCACTATTCGATGTGAATGTCCCCCATCAGTTTTGTAACTACACATATGGTATCCAACCTTCAACGGTTAAAGATCAAATAATTGTTAATGTTACCTGCAGTGGTCTATAAAGAACTAGACGAATCATTAAAGAAACAGATTGCCTCAAAAGAGTTTATTTGCAAAATAAACAGCAGACATAAAAAAAAAAAAAAAACACTAATAATAATAGTAATAATACGTACGTGTACACACTCTCGTTGAGCGAGCGACGGCACTAGAACAACTAAAATAATTTAGTGGAAAATAAATCGCGAAACGTTAATCAATGCGCGATTTCGATTTATTAATAAAGAAAGTGCCAATTGCATAATTATGGCATTTATAAGAAAATATGTTTAAAAACAGTTTGAATAATTAACATACAAACAGGAAAAACAATGTATACATCCACCAGTCACAACATTGACTAATTTACGTTTTCTTACCTATCATGACAAAATAGACAGGTATGATTATAGCTATACCTAGGCATTACATTTAGTTGGGCTAAAAATATTCAACGTTTACAACATTAGCTGTTAACATTTTTCGTTTCAGTGCCCTTGATGCCAATTAAAAATTTGTCATTTTTTTTTTTTTGCACATTGGTCTTGGTACTTAGTGTTATAGGAATATCTAGGAATATTTCGCTCATCATCTATCATCATCCCCCCCCTATTACCTCCCCCTTAAAACTTATCACACCTAGAGAGACTGTTGTCAGTAGCAAATAATATTATTTGATTCGTTAAATCCTTTTCAATGTTTAACAACGAAAAAACTAATACAATAATAATATAACTGTACAAGGATACAATTAATAAAGTCATTTGACGGAAGGGGGTAACAAATATTCGAGGATTCAAAATACTCCCTAACCTCTATCTAACTACGTCTAAGTGTATGCTCACGTGTTTTTTTTTAAATACATACCCCGCTCAAATATTTCTTCACTTTTTTATTAGCTAGGTGACCAGAACTATCATGTTCATGATATCAAAATTATTACGATTTTGTGTTTTTTTTATTTTCCTAATCAACGTCACAGGATGCAGGTTACGTGCAGGGTGTGATATTAAAACGGAGTCTGGTACCGAACCCGAAACGCCCGGGCAAAATGTATCACTTTTCCGACCTGAATATCGGTATAGAACTGACGATGAATTTCATGACGTACAGATTCTGTAGCTGCAACTCTTTTACAAGAACTTTCATGACGAAAGAAGGTATTGTGTTACCCCCCAACGAAACTATGCCTGACGACCCTTACATGGCCGCCAGACTGCACCAATTGACACTCACCTCTATTGGGATGAAAAATTCGGACGATTGCGACGACGTCGAACACCATAAACTAAAACGGTTCATCAAGTACGACGGGAAAGTACTGAGGTAAAAATATTATAGACCCATTTATACCGGTCGCGAATGATAAAAAAAAGAATTAATTTTTTTAAACAAATAGTAATATTAATAATAAACCTAACTTTACAAAATTAAGTATATCGCGATACTGCAGTTAGTGTATGCACATTTTCCATCATTGAAAAAAGGCCCAAGCATTTGTAAAATTTTAAAATTTAGACGAGTACCCTTTCTGTATTTAGCGATAATTTTTTGTATCAATAAGAGACGTGTACGGTTAAATGAGTGGGAAGGTGATTGTCGAAAAACTGCCAATCATAATATCTCCTTATTATCCATAACCAACATATTTACATTTTTCGTTTTTTTTTTTTTTTAATTGACATAACTTACCAAACAAAACTAATATTTTACTGTATTCAAAAGATTCTACGCAGCGTGGCACGTCAACGAATCCGAATCCGAATACGAACCCCCAAATTGGAGGAATTTTCTAATCGCTTATTACTTAAAGGACGACGAGGTGGAAATAAATGAATTGAAATACGGGAAGAACGAGGTTCCAAGTCCATCGTTTTTAAAGAAAATGAAATTACCGATGAATTTGAAAAATATACCATGTGAGTAAAAGTAACTCATCACTATTACCGTCATATTTTAGGATTTACATATGTAATAAGGGCCTCGACATTTGAGAAACAATTTTTCGTCATTACCAATGTATTGAATTGGACAATTTTTTTTAAAAAAAAAAAAAAAAAATTAACAAACCCTTTTAATGCGTATACCATCACGGTTGGTATTTAAAGATTTTTATTTTCCAAAAAAGTATCGTCCAAAAGTTAAAATATGGGTAATTTAAAAATTAATATTCATTTTATATTTTTTCGAAATCAAAAAAAAAATTGTATTTAGTCGTATAGAGTTGAATATAAAATCTGTTACGTGTTTGTCTTTAATAATAAATTAATTGTCCCGTCCGTTCTTGTTCGAGCAAATTTTTTTACCAACATTACTTTTTGGTTTTGATCGTGTATAAAAGTATTCTGTTATGACATATATTTTTAAATTATAAATTACTATTTGCCTTAAGCATTAAATATTTCTGGATACACCACGTTAAGCGCCTCACTAACAAAATTATAGGTAAAAACGGCTAACAGTTTGGGCGAACAGCGGCGTTACCGATTTCATTGTTTTAAATAATTTGTATACACGACGTTTTCTACCAGAAATATTACTACAATCAAAAAGGTACAAGTTATTGATTTTATTCCTTGCAATATAAAACCACTGAAAAGGAAAATCGTTTTTTGATATTTAAAGAATTTTTCACAATAATTGGGAAAAACCAAAAAAATACGACTCTTTACAAATTACGGCGCAACGATTTTATTACTTTAAATTTGTAAGCTTTCCGTTTTCTACCAAAAATATTGCTCTAATAGAAAAACAATTATTCATTTATTTTTGAATTTTCAATCTAGTTGGTCGAGAAAGACTTTTTTGACTTTTTTGTAGTTTTTTTTTTAATAATTGAGCAAAACTAAAAAATAAGTAAAAACAACGGGAAAATTTAAGAGAATAATATTTTAAATTTTTGTTTTTTAATGTAATTCAGTTAAAAATATTTGTAGACTCGAAATTTTGACAGAAAACTTGTATTTACTCTTTCTAGACTAAGCTATTTATATACCTTTTAATTTTTCGAATATTTTACGCTATTTTTATTTGGTAGATTAAAATTATTAGATTGTTAAACAGGGATGCTCTAGAATTTGACAGGAGGTCCATTATATATTCGTACTTAATGGTCAAAAAAAAAATTGAGTTTAATGTAGTACCTGTTTTTTTTTTTTTTATTATTATTTATAGGAGATTAAAAATCAAATTTTGACGAAAACCGTAAACATTATTGCCTTTCAAAATATATATAATCGAACTGCGTTCCGAATCGTTTTTCGTTAGCAATGGTTTATCGTTTGTTACAGGTATAAATTCAATAACTTTATGTATCCTACCTTCCTAACCATCCCCAGTATCAAATATTTTTTTTTAATAACTAATATTTTTATTATGAACTTTAATACTCGATAATATTAATTATTTGTAGCAATCCTATCATACGTAACCTTAAATGATAATGTAAAAAATGAATGTCGAAGATTTTACAAACCAACGGATTTTATAATAGGAAATACCATTTGTGTAATGGGTCGTAGGTAAGTGCACAAAAAACAGTGGTTCAAATTTGTTAATATTTTTTTTCTTGAATTTCATTATACATTTCTTCTTTTCAGATTTATACTGTATGACTGCGATCAGTTTACACGAGATTATTTCAAAACATCTTTAAAAATAGTTCAACCTGATCCAATAAACGTTATGGGTTCTATAAAGAACGAAAACAAAAAAAAGGTAACTATACTTAAATTAATAGTAAACATTTTGATAAAATATATTTACATGTCATGCTATCTTTGTATCCCCGGGTAATCTTTATTTATTAATAGTTGATCAAAAATAGCTCTAGTCTAAAAAACAATCTTGCAATCTTTTGAATGTTCGACATAGTTTATATAGATTTTAATAAAGCATTCGAATAACTCAATCATGGAATCCTATAAAACTATAATGTGCTTTTCCCATTACTCACTTCTTATTATATAATTTCAACATTTTTAAAATGCCAAATTAACTTTTCCTTTCAGTGTTCCTCAGAGCAATCATCCGTCGTCTCTCTTTTTTAATATTTGTATAAATGATCTCCCCAACATCATTCAGCACTCTCAATATTGTCTTTGTTCACCAACGATGTAATAATGCTTCCGAGTCATAAGCGGAACAAATTAAGACGCAGTTAGCTTTCAATTTTTAAGAAATAGTCCGCTTATAACTCATATTTAAAGCTTAATACGGTAGATTAATCGGTGGTTACTACTGATTAATCTAAAGTATTGCATTTTAATAAATAATGCGATAAATCGTAATTATAGTTACTCTATTTTTGGATCTAACCCCGAACAAAAATCTCAAAATTTCAAAGATCTTGGTGTAGCGTTCAAATCGAAATGTTCTCTCATTTGATCCAATTTTCGGTATTGCTCTTCAATTGTTATTAATAATCTATAAATATAATACACAAGTAGGACGATGCAATAGAGCCAATTCAAAACAATTGTTTACATTACGTCTCATTTGAATTCAATGGTCCCAGACCTACCCACGAGTCTTACGAAAATGATCTCAGATGCATGATGCATAGCTCTTACCGAATTTGTAATTGGACTGTGGCCCGTTTAAATAAATAAATAAATAGTTGTTGATAATCGTTATTTATGTTTAGATATATCCACCTCATAATGGGTTCGGTGACCCGGACGATTCGCTGAGAAATTGCATATCGTTTAGACTTCAACCACCGAAATCGAATTTCTTGAACTTTATGAAAAATTACAACAATATACTCAGATATAAAATGAAAATGGTACCCCGGGCAGAAGAAGACGAAGACCGTCCTTTCTGTATGGAATATAACCTAGCCAATAATTTAATGAAAATAAATGAAGGACCCTCTCGTGGATTTATAAAGAAAAAATTCATGTCGGCATTTCGACTGCGAAAACCCGGATTTCCGATCGAAGACAATGTTTTTTACGGGCCAAAAGATTTCGCAATCGGTAAATAATACATTTTATAGCTCATTGTTTTTAAACCTTTGTGTGCTGGTGTCCCAAGATTTTTCCTAAATTTTTCATACGAGCTTTTTGAGAATAATTTTCAATGACCGGGGCTACCCGGCCCACATAATTTTTCAATTAATATAACCAAAAGAAACTATCGCCTTTCATTCTTGTTAAATAAAACAACTAGACAGTCGACTGCTGTAGTCTATGCGTAAAAAATAATGTCGCCAATAAAATGGCCACCGATTGTTATCTTAGAGGTGAATGTTTACAAGATAAACTGACATGATAAGTGATAAAATACTATTTTGAAACTTTGCTCTAAAATGAACAATATATATATATATAATATTTAACCCTTTATATGGGCATGGGATACTATAACATGGCATGTTATGACATCGTTCCTTATCAATGCTATAAAACATAAACATTCGCCTCTTTGATAGGGACGGTGGCCATTTTGCTGGCCATCATAATAACACCAGAGTCGGCTATATAATTGTTTTATATATCTGTTTATATCTGTTTTATATGTGGTTTTAAATAATAAACACAGCTAAATGAGTAATAGGTACATTGAAAAGTTCATAATGTTGATCAAAACCAATTCGGGTCGGCAACTTATCAAATATTTTAATTATTTCCGCGAAGGTCAACCGACAAATCACATTTATAGAATTGAAAAATTAAAGTCCAAAAGTATTCTATTGCTATTGTCATGTGCATATACTTGCATTACATCCGCCAACGTCTATTGATTTTTTTTGTGTTTACCGAATCCTACTATATTTCACTGTAGTTTCACATAGTATATATGTAATACAATATATTGTATCTCCGGCTCTCGTAAAATATTTAAAAAAACGAAAGTTTAAACCATGAAATTTGTGTACAAAATTCATCAAAATGGTGGATTTTCGGTTATACTTATTTGTTCGCTCGTTTTTGCTCTTTGTTTTTGCACATTCGTGTTCACTTTTTTGCTTTCACTCTATTGTTGGGACACCATTCATTAATCAGGATACACCTGAATAATTGTATTTTATACAAGATGATTATCTTGGAAACTAGATAACCAATGATATATTATAGTAGTTATTACAAACGATGATAATATTATTCGTGGTTTCAGGAGCTGAAATATACGTCAGAGGATCGGTGTTCAATATCGTCGATCTCGACGAATGGACATACGACTTTATGATGAAAAATGAAGACATTTTCACGCAAGATGCTATTGACGGAGCTAAAAATCATTTTATAAGTAAAGGCTTACTAGTAGATGCGCAAGAAAATCGTAATAAAGATCTCAAAACTATGCCGTCCTCATTTAGTAACGGGAGAACGATATAAGTTGATTGTACTGTGTACGAATTTATCAATTAATTTAAATAAAATAATGTCTATAGTTGTGATTAAAAATAATACTTTTTTAATTTTTCTTTTTCTTCAGTCAGAAAATATTTTTCTGTAATCACTTTTGTAACACGAATTGTTTTTGTTTCTCATTGGTAGCGAACACCAAATTATAGTCTTAAATCAAATTTATTCTACTCTCGGTCTTATCGCCGAAACTCCGGGTTTATAGAACTCTGGGTTATCTTGATAGTTTGAGTTTTCACTGCAAGTCGATAGGTCATTCAAAAGAAATTCTGTGTCCAAGTTAAATATTTTGAAAACATCTAGAGTTTTGCCGGGGACGAAAATTTCAATTTCGTTTTTCTGCGATTAATATATTATCCACCGTACGGGCAAAACCGTTCGCCGTGAGAAAAGACCGAAAAAAAAATCACGCCGTGCGTGCGTACAAAAAACCGCGCGCTCGGCGGTGTATTATAAAAAAAAAAAAAAAAAACCGCACGCACACACGTCTCAGACGTTTGTAACTTTTGTCACTTGTATAATATTTATAACGGGCGGTTTTCTTTTTTCTCATTTCGTTTTTATTATTATTATTGTAATATATGTGAACGTTTTACTGCGGCGCGCGGGCATAATATATAAATGTTATTACGACAATAAGATTTTGAAAAATAAAATATTCGACCGGGGGCCCCGGAGCACCGCGCCGCCGCCCGAACGCATTATTTTTGTGCACTCTTGCGCTCAGTCGGAGAGAAGAGAAGGAAAAAAAAAAATGTCCGTCCGACACAGTCGTATACCTACCTGCATCATATACGGACCACATTAAAACGATATGATAATAATATAATAATAATAATAATAATAATCATACGTTATATATGTATTTCGTTTTTTTTTTTGTCGACAATATCACAGCGCGAGCGCACTATATTAGGTACGTTATAATATAATCCGAAACCGTTTTTTTTTTTCTTTTATTTTTTCATCTGGGGATCGCTGATGTTTATAATATGTCTTGTCTCCTCGCCAGACGCAATCCTTTACCTGCGGGGCGTTTAAATCTCCGACGCGCGATGAGCACCTGGGTTAAAACGTATGTATACGGACGTCGTCGTCGGTCGGTTCGCATCTGCTATTATTGTTATCGTACGGAACGAAGTACCCGATAAAATGTGCTTAAACACGTCTCCCGTATACAACAATATAATACCGGGGAGGTTTTTTTAATAAGCTTCGCGTATTATATTATATTATTGTTATTGTACGACAAAAGGTTCGTCTGTGCGGTTTGACGCCTTTCTCTCTGTCTCTCCGTTCGGCTCTGTATAAAATACGGCACGAAATTTAAAAATAATAAAATGATAATAATAATCGAAATACTTCCCGCGCGTGTTGTGTATATCGTTTTGTAAAAAAAAAAAAAGAGAATAAAAACCGGGATAAGGGTTCCCGTCACACGAAATAAGTGTTGTGTGTATACATACTACTATAATACAGGACGCTCATCGATTAAACACCGAATTGCAGCGGGTATATGTCGGCAGAAAGAAGTGGAGGGGGGGTTTACAATTGAAACCGTTTTTTTTTTTTTTTTTTCTATCCTTTCGAAATTGCCTAATGAAAACATCAAGAAAAATACTCCGCGCGGTATAATGTGTTTTTAACCCAGACAGCTTCAGTCTGCATACCGAACAATCGAATCCGTTTTCTATTTTAAACTTATCTTAACTACACGTATACACTATTGGACCGACCATTGTGTTGTTGTGATATCTTTTTTCCGTGTTTTTTTTTATGACAACTATTGAACGGAAAATATAAAAGTATAATATATTATAGCTGTATATAGTATCGTGTTTTATCGATAATCCTTTTTCTTTTCTTTTTTTTTTAGCGCGTACACTACATCCTATCCGTCATAATATAAACTAGATATAGGCAATAAAACCGAAAATAATCATACAGCAACGATAATTCAAGGGGTAAATACGGTTTGTTTTTTTTTTTTTTTTTTACGATGAAAAAATATAATTCTATCTTTAGCGGGCATATACCTACACTCGTACGCCGCTGAACGCGTGATATATTCGTGTAGTTTCAAAACGGTACATAATAATAAACAGTATATTACTCACAGTTTTTCAAACTTTATTTTTTAAGTGCACCTACGTACAACGCCAGAAGCTTATTATTTCCCATTTAACCTGATGTTAGGTTATATTTTTTCGTTTAATAACAACAATCGTATATATATACATGTACGCATACGTACTATAACAAGAGTTATTAAAAAAAAAAAAAGAGAAATCTTAATTATAATTAGCAATTCGTGATAAGCGAAAATACACACAATTTTTATATTAATTACAATCGCCGTATTTCGCAGGCGCGAGAACTTTCGAAACGTCGAAGTAAACCGAGTAAACAGGAACGCGTAAAAACAGTATAAATGTTCGGATTGAGAGCTAAAACGTTACACGTACATTTTGTTATTTCCATATTATATAAACGCTCGATATAACAAATTTGCGTTTTGCGCTGATAAAATGCTAACAAATTCTTCACTTTCTCTTTTATCGCAACTATTTGGGGTCGGTCGCCTAAACTGCCATTCGACCAGATCCTCGGCATCAACATCGCGTACATCCCCCCATCATCGTACCCCGTTCTCAATCGTGTCCAACAAACTCTTTGTCCGTCTCTCCCTTTTTCCAATTACGTCTATTTGCATTACAGTTCCTATTGCATCTGATCCGTCTCTAACCTCATGGCATATACACTTCACGAAGCTACCTTTAATATACTCTTTCCTTATCCTATTCTCTCTTGTCACTCCACTCGTCCAATTATGCATTCTCATTTCATCACCGTTGTTGGTCTTGTAGGATTTACCTTGAAGTCTCGTCGGATTCCTGTTTTCAGATAAAACACCGGACGCTTCACTTAATCCAACCTCGTTCAATCCTATTATCAAACAAAATTTCACACACACATACTCGTATGTTGCCTAATAATTGAAATGGCGAAAAAAAACCTACGTACACGGGTTAATAATGTTCTCCCCTTCAAGTTTGAAAAAAAGTAAATTCGCTCTACTATTAAAACTAACTGCCGACGGCACAACGTTGGTATTGCTAAGCGTAAATCTGCCGTGTCGTGCGTTTGCAAGACGGAGACAACAAATGCACCCGTAGCGTCCTCTTGAGCGTTCTTTAAGTGTTTTTCGATATGTATTTTTTTTTTTTTTACACGTATAACATGTAATACAATAGGAATTATTGTATTGAGATTTTTGAGAGCAATGTACCGCAAGAGTTTCGTCGAGTTGCCGACCTGTAAAAAAAAAGGGAAAAAAAAGTTCTAAAAACCTAAAGTACGTAATATGTATCCAACCGAAGTTACAATATCATGTCGAACACAATACGGTCCCGACCCCATAACGATAAACCCGCGACCGCGGAAGAAATTTTTATTTGGCCGTGTGAATTTCAGCGTAAGTAAGACGATTTATTGTATTATTATTCCGCATAATATAAGCATCTAATACCTCTCGCACTCGTCGAACCGTTGTCGTATCGCTATAATCGCGCATTTTTCGAGTATGCGTTTAAACACGTTTAAAAAAAAAAAAAATAATAACAATCATCATCACCAGCCCTCGGAAATGGGCACTCCATGCGTACACGAATGAGCGCTTCGCGACCAAGAATAATAAAGTAGGTATTATCAAATCAAACGGATCTAAAAATCGCGGTTCTTATACAGGTCTTATGTATTATTCTATTTTACTTGTTACATTTTTTTTTTCCGTCTCGAGGGGGATTTGAAACGGATATTCTCTCACTCTTTGTCCAACACATACGGAAAACGAGCAGTAAAATTCAGGCCAATTTTTTTTTTTGTCAATGAAGCGATAAGAATTATATTTAGAACATATTTGAAAGACCTACAATTTTTTCGAATTTTCTCCCTTGATTTTCAAATATTCGATTTGAAAATTTAAAATAATACATAAAAACAATCTAAAACTGTTTCAAGTCCAACGGATCACGACCAAAATCTGCGACTGATAAATATAAGAATTAAAAATGTTATCATAAAAACTGGGATGTCAATGCTAAAATGCTCTTTTATTGTTACAAATTCGTTTTACGGATATTTTTAATTTTTTTTTTATGTTCGTCGTTTTTATTATAATGCGGAGCATTTTAATGTTTTCGGGACACTAATCGTATTACCAGGGTAGGTTTTAAGGCGGTGCAAACTCCGCACGCGCTTTTAAATGCCCCGCGTTTAGTCGTTGTCATACCTATATTGGATAATTTCACATGATTATTTAGGAAAACACAAATTAAAATTAATGAACTAAAAATAATCGTATGGTAAAGGTTTATCTACCCTTGGTGTTAGAAGATGAAAAATCGAAAAAAAAAAAGAAGCTTATTGAGATCCCGCGAAAATGACTACTCAGATCCTCGATTTTTTTTCCAAGCCAGCCCTGCGGTATACCCTGCAGACAACGACCCGGAAATGTTTTGTTACGGATTCGTTGCACGCGTATAACTGAGGATAAGAGTTTTTTTTTTTTTTTTTTTTATGCGGGAGGAATGGCATTTTCGGGATTTGATGGAGCATTCCGCATTCCCAACCCGACAATATAGTGTAACGATATTTACACTGTCGAAATGCGAGCGTCACGAAAACCGTTGTCGTTCACTCCGTTATTAAAAACGGCCGCCGACGCGGATGAACGAGAGTTTCCCTATACGTATCGTTCTTTATCTGACTCCGGCGTTGTAACCAAGAGCGCGCATTTGTTTCGCGGACAACGCAATTTTGTTACCATACGAACGTATTACACTGTGCGCGCATAGATGGGTATATCAGGAGGTACGTGCGAGTTTTTTTTTTACGGCCAAGGCGTGTGCGGAATACTATATGGTCATAAATCTCGGAAGATTTGCCGTAGATCGCCGGTTCACGCCCCT